GGTTCTGAGACAGGGCTAAAGCCCAGGCCTTCTGATTCCCAGACCTGTGAGGTCTCTCTTGAACCACTTACTAATGTTCTGCCCCTTTCTGCCACCTAAAGACACAGAGAGAAGTATTGGAAGAACAGGGCCGCCCATGTGGGCAGGAGGCCCCTGAGGCTGTGGTTGTTGCTCCTAAAGTCAGCAGTCTGTAAGTGTAGAACCCAAAGGGTTAATTCACCATTCAGGAAGTTCTGTGGACTGGCAGACCCTGGGAAACAGCTGGCTGCTAGGCTCAGGAGGCAGGAAAGGAGCTTCAGAAAGAGGTGCATTTGGCGGGAGCTTGTGTCCCCTGGTCCTGAGATCTCAGCCCTGAATGGACATGGAAATCACCTCACACAGACCCTCACATGCGCCCTCTTCACCTGGCAACTGTAAAAATGTCTATGCTTGGGCCCCTGTTCCAGGGAATCAGAGGTATTTCGTCTGAGGTGGGGTGGCTGGGTGTATTTTATAAGCTCCTCAGTAGATTCTAGTATGCAGGCAGGGTTGAAAATCATACACTAGCCAGCAAGCTCCTGAAGGAGGGAAGCCCTGGCCTTTTCATCTTTCTTCCCTAACACAGCACATTGTACATAGAAAGGCTGCATGCAAGTGTGCTAAATTGTAAGATGTAAGGCTAACAACACTAAGTGAAGGACACCATATGAGGGATGATTGCAGCCACTAAGAACTAGGCTGAAGAATATGTACTGAAATGGAAGCAGGTTGGTTCTTAGTCCCTAAAAGGAAAATCAGTACACATGTAAGGGAAAAGGACCGGAAGTTTAAACATCAAAGGGTTAATGTTAATGTTGGTTATCTCTTGAGTGGCTAAGTTATGGGTGAGGGTGTTTTCAGAGCAGGCTGCCTGTGTGAATTCATATAATTCACATGCCATTCAACCTCTCTGTGCCTCCTCTCCTCACTTCTAAAACATGGACAATAGTGGGGCAAACGTGCATCATAGTTTATCAAAGGAAAACTCTGGAATAGAAGCTTTAGAAAAGGAAACGAAAAAGTTTACTTGCAAAGAGTGCAAAGACTTCAGGAATGGCTCTGCAAAAACCAAAACATAAGAGTAGCATTTAAGTAAACAAACGACAAACACGCAAAATTACCAAGGCTACCTGAGTGGGTGGAATGGTGATTCCCCCAAAAGATATGTCCGTGTCCTCACCCCTAGAACCTGTGAATGTCACATTATTTGTAAAAAGGGTCTTTGAGACTAGATCATTCTGGATTATACTGGTGGGCCCTAAATCCAATGACACGTGTCCTTGTAAGAGACAGAAAAGAAGACGATGAGAGAGACACAGGGGAAGGCCATGTGAAGATGGAGGAAGTTGGCAAATAGATAAATAAGTAAAATATTCAGTAGGTTAGATAGTGATGAGTGTTGAGAAGTAGGGGAAGGAAGATAGAAAATGGAGAGGGAGCTATGGTATTAGCCAATGGAAGGCCTCAAAGATAAGTGACATTTGAGTAAACAGCCCAAGGAGGGTGTCTGGGGAAACATTGTTGAGTTTCCAAAGAAGCACAGCCACGGCAGGCAGGTATGGGGAGGGCCTGGGCCTGTGAGAATCCAACGGAGAGTAGCACGAGGAGCAGGCACTGGGTGGAGGTTTATTTTGCAAAGGGAAATACAAACTGTGCCCTTGTCTGTTTATATATGAAAATCAAGGATCAGAATAAACAATATTCAATAAATACAAGATATATAATTACAAAATCATCATCATACTGTACCTTCTTTCTAAAGGATTATTTCTATAAATTATAGATCATAGCATAGAACCTTAGCAACCATCTGGTGTTAGCATTTTCCAAATTTGCCAGAAGATAAGAATCCACTGGGGTTTAAAGATACAGATTCCAGCCCCCTCCCCCACTCTAGGGACTCTGTGTGAGTAACGAGAGCCCCAGGTGATGCTGGAACAGGCAAAGCTTCAGAGACAGGGACAGGTCGATCCTCACATTTCACAAATGAGGAAATCAAGGCCTAGAGAGAGGGGTGCCTTGCTCAAGATAGAACTGGTCAGTCAGGTAGAGCCAGAAATAATACTTGGATTTCACAACTCTTGGTAGATGAAAGGTTTTTACACAGCACAAAAGTTGCTTATGGTATTTAAACTCGAGATCCAATAAGACATAAAACATAAAAATGAACACCAGGGCAGACACTTTCTAGAAGCACAAGATGTACCTGGGATGAAATGGTTACCATTACTGATCCCCAAACTCAGCACTGAGCATTCTGGCAGCCAAGTCTGCCAGGTAAGTGGGTCGTGTTATTCCATTCACGGGTGCAATAAAATAATGTATAAAAATTTCATTTGATAAGGAAAATTTTTTCCTTTAACAAACAAAATTAAAAATCCTCCAAAGTTTCAGTTTCCTATTACAGCAATTATAGGAGAAAGGGGACAGTAAGTGGGGAGAAAACAACAAAATGAGAGATCCACCCTCTCTCAGAATGATTTCTTCCCTGTAACAGATCTCATGTGGGCTGTCTGGAGTTTCAACTCTCTCAATAGACCATGAATAACTATGAGTTTGAAGGGATCCCAGGATAGACTTCTTGCAAACAGATCTTTTCTGATGCTGCCTAATGTTCTTTGTGGGGAACGAGACACGAGGCCTAAAAAGAACAAGTGTGACCTGTGACAAGTCATTGGACCCTCTGGGCCTTTGTGGCCCCACCTGGAAAAGAGGAATAATAAAGCTGTAAGCCCCTAAGGGGGTGGGCTGGATGCCTCCCCTAAGCTCCCTTGCAGCTGTGGCATCTGTGACTCACAAGCCTGCTCACCTGGGCAGGAGAAGTTTGTTGGGGTTTGTGTGTGCATGTGAGTGTGATGAGCACCCTGCCACACACGTGGGAACTCAGACACTACACTGCTCTTGAGTTGTGGCTGGGTGACCACATCTGTGGCTGCAGCTGCTCTGGCAAAGCTGGCATCTTAGGTAAAGAAAGGTCTCTTTCCAAGCCTGCTGTGCGGGCCTGTGAGGAGACACACAGTTGCCTTTTTTGTTTGTCCTTCCCATGTGGGGACTAAAGCCCTTTCTTTCAGTTGCTGTGGAATGTACAAAAAGTTCTGTGCCAAAGGGCGGCCGGCCCTGGCCTGGAATCCTGCAAATGGGGATCAGTCAGGGGAGCCGGCTGAAGCTCCTGGGGCCCTGCCCAGCCCCAGGGACAGCCTGCCAGGTATCTGGACAGCAGGTGTAAAGAGGGTCCCCCACTGCCTGCCCTCTGCACTGCATGCTCCCGCAGTGACCTGCAGGAACCCATCCTAATTGTGGCTGAGACACAGTGGGCCTGTCACAGGTGGGCATGGTGCCAGGGGGAGGGGGTGCTTTGCTGCCTCATTCAACCCTTCCAACTCTTGAGGCTACAGTGGTGTTACCCCCACTTCTCAGCCGAGGTGACTGGTCTTCAGAAGAGGGTACGATAGGGGAGGACTGGACCGAGACAAAGGAGCAAGGGCGCTGAAAGGCAGCGGAAGGACCTCTCCAGCTCAAGAGCAAGACAACAGGACCTCAACCTGTGGTGTTTACACTTTTATCTCAAGTGTAAACAAAACAAAACAAAACAAAAACAAAACAAATACAACCAACACTTTAGTGGGGGATAAAAAAGAACCTGCCACCACAAAACCTAATAGTGGCACAGGAAGCCTTTTCTCATTGCTGTTGACATCCCTGGGTGTGTCCACCGTCGCAGAGCCAGAAGACTCACCGCAGAGGAACCTGTTGCCAAAATGCTGTGGGGCTGTGCTATTTCAGGAGGGTGATTTTCCCAGGCTGCTATTGTCTGCATTTTTCTAACCAGGATGGGGCACTTCAAAGTGTGCTGCAGCCAACCGGTGCTGAACTTTGCTCTAGTTTCAAAATATAAACGAACAAGTGGCAGCGGAAATGCCCAGGAACAGGTCTGAACAATCAGCCCCCGGGGGAGGCCCCAGTGTCAGCTCCTAGGAAGGGTAGGGGACTCCCGAAGAGGGCTGGGGACTCCCGAAGAGGGCTGGGGAAGAGATTCATGTTTGAAAGCAATCTGCATTAGGTGTGTCAGAGCCAGAGTCTCTAGGGTAGACGCCACGATCTTCCAAGCAAGGGAGGAAGAAAGGAGATGGGGGGAGCAGAGGGGATAAGGGTGTGGTGATCAGACTAGCTTTTATATGCGATCTTGTTTAAACAAGACTCTTATCAAAGAGTAATCCTAAACGTTGGTCTTTTTTATTATCTCAGCTCCCTGGGGAATGGGTATGTGACTTTTGGGTTCCAGGAGGCGGGATTAAATTGCCTCTTAGCAATAAGAGCCCCAAATAAGCAGATGAGGGTAATAGTGTGGGAGAGGGGGAGGATTTCTCCTCTATTCTTCTTTAGTTTTTACAGCTAGACAAATAACTACATGATAAAATTGACACAGACTAGATTAATAGGAGAAAAACCAACGCGTGCACACGGGAGAATCACAATATGATGCTCAGATCATAAAATAAGGCTCAAAGAAACGATCGAACCAGAAAGCTTTTTATACCTTTTAGACAAAGAAACAATACATTTGTGAGAAATTGGACAAAGAAAGTTAGTGCTTATCAGAAAGGAATCTAAGCAAGCTTGGTTATCTCTTAGTGAGGAATAGAAGCAAAGTTTAGGCTGGGGTAGTAAATTAGTAAAGGCAGTACAAGGCTTGTTTACAGGAGTTTCGACTCTGGATTCTTTTAACTCTTGTGATAAGGTTGTCTCTCCTCCCTCAGCAGGGTGGGCACCTATCACATGGGAGATTTATCTCCTGCTTTCAGTGAGAGAGGTAGGTCAGGGTTTTCTTCTTGTCCACGAGCAGTTTCTTAAGTAACTTTAATTCAAAATAATCAATACGCCATTGTGGGATCTCTTGGGCCCCAGCAATAGAAATGGAGAGGAAGGAATTCATTTGTGCCTCATGGAGATGTTCTTTGCTTCCCACTATCTGGACCCGCGTCTTCTATTGCATAAGGTGTGCACCAAGACTGAGAGCAAAGCTGACATCTAGTTATAAGGCAACATTCGATGGCACAGCCCTGTGCTGTAGGTGCCGAGGAGGGAGTGGGACGTGAAGCAAGGAAGCCCGTATGGCGAAGGATGTCTCGTTCTATGCGGGCTGTGTGGGGGCAGGGCACTAATTTTTAAAATCTCTATTAAATCTCTACTATGTGACTAACACTCTGTTAAATGCTCTGGGGGAAAAATTCCAAGAAGTTGACGTATAATTAAATGTGTGTCCCCTGTCTACCAAGGTCACAGTATTATGTTTGAGAAGGGACAGCCACAGCCACAGGAGAGACAGGTACCGTGCGTGGGTTGGGGGGAAGTGGCTGGGCTTTGCATTCGAACTGTCTGGATTCGAAGAAGCACTGGGCTGTGTGACTGGTTAATGTACCTCTCTTTGCCCCTGTTTTCTCACCGGTAAAATGGGAATAATTTTTCAGCATTGTTGTGAGGATTTAATGTAAAGTGCTTAGCACAGCGAGTGCTCAAGAGACATTAACCACCATTTATTATTGTTATCTGACACTCTGACCCTTGTCCTTCAGGTGTTTACAACTTAAAGTAAAAAATAAATAAACACGGCCTGAAATATGACACAAGTGAACTTGGTTATTGCTGATAAGTGTGCCATAGATGTCAGAGGACCCTTCAAGCAAGAGCCATTCAATTAAAGAAGACTTCAGGGAAGAGACGAAGGATGGGGCCTTCAAAACTGGGTCAGAATTTAGTAAGTGAGGACATTCTAGCCGAGAATAAGTAGCATATACAAGGATATGGAGGCAGGAAAATGCCAGGCATGTTTGTGGGGAGCCATGTTTCTTCACCTTGGCTTTAGCTAAAGTTCCATAAGGGATTTGTGAGAAATAAAGTTGGAGAATAGGTGAATCAGTGCCAGGCAGCAGACTACGGAGTTTGAACTTTATTGTGCATGCAATAGAAACCCGTTGGGAAGACTGATAAGGGATTGGGATCTGCTTCTTCTGCCTTCCCGATGGTGATCTGTGCTTAAATATTGAGATGATGCTGAACTTAACCATCATCAGATCTGCAGAGACTCTCATCAGCTTCGGTTTCCGGCCAACGGGTATGCTGGAGGGCAGGGTCCACCCAGTGTGCAGAAAGGCCCTCTCTCCATCTCTCCCACTGTCGACCTAACAGCCAAACCTGTAGAGAATTTTTATGAGTTTACTTGAGTCAAACTGATGACATTGTCGGGAAGCAAGATTGCAAATGCTCCTGAGAATGACAGTTTTTCAGCCTTTTTTTCACATATATATTTGGATTTAAGGAGGGAATGTAAGGAAGATTACAGGGAGGTGGGAGAAAACCAGGCAGGATTGGATTACAGGATAGTTTACAAGATTATGTGCTTTCTTTGAGGGTGATTATACTTCTGAGGGGATCTGAAAAAAGGCATTTCAAAGGTGTGTTAACCTAGATGCACAAAAACAGTGGATGGGGCTTGCTTAAGGCAAAGATAACTTTTTACTAGGGAGGTTATATGCCTGGGGTGTGACTACCTGCCCAGTTAAGAATTTATGGTCTGATCACCCTGTGAGGTTTCTTTTGGTCACTGGACTTGTCAGATTTATTATAGATCCCCTTTTTGTCCGTACCACCCTTGGAGCATTCAGAACTAACCCACAAATGACCTGAGAATGGTGATATGGTCAGGGTGGCTGCTGCCGGTCACCAAATGGAGCTAAAATCGGTATGGAATTATGCTGTTTGATATGGCAGCCACTGGCCACTTGTGGCTACTGAGCACTTAAAATGTGGCTTTTCAAAACTGAGATGTGCTATAAGGGTAAAATATATACCAGATGTCAAAGACTTAAAAAAATTAATAATATTTTTAATATTGTTACATACTGATACAATAATATTTTAAATATATTGGGTTAAATAAAATGTTATTAAAGTTAATTTCACTTGTTTCTTTTTACTTTTTTATGTGGCTACTAGAAAATTAAAAATTACACATGCAGTTTATATTACATTTCTATTGGGCAGTCTAGGGAAATAGGGTTTGGGAGACTTATGACCTGAATAATTACTAGGGCTGTAACTGTATATCTCATATTAGCCTGGGTAGGGTGCCTGACTTCTAAAACAGCTCAGATTTGAATCAAATAGTTTCAGGATAAAAAGTTCAGGGAGAAAGAGGTGTGTCATTTTTTGTGTATCAAGTCTTCAAGTTTCTCCAAAAGTTGATTCCAAAATTCCAGCTTTTAGTTGAGGCTAGAGGATGACCAGACAGTGTTGCAGGGGCCACTCTGGGAAATTACTCACCCACAGGAGTAAAGGCAGAAGCTCCTAGGACTTTGGGGGTGCTAGGTCATGGTTTCCTGGGCCTTCTGTCGTTAACTCCTTCGGGGGGCCACCTGTGAACACTACCAATGCCGGCGAGTCAGGAGCTGGTGGAGAGGCTGGGATCAAAAGGCCTCTGAAAAATGTGTTGTATGCGAAGCTATTCTAAAAGATTATCTCAAAGTTTTGTACTTATGCGTGATTTTTTTTCCCTCCTGTGCTTTTCAGGGCTTTTCTAATTTTCTACATTGAATAAATAAAAGAAACTTTTTTTTTTTCTTTTTAAGATAAAGAAGGGAGGAGCAGTCATAAGTTCTCAGTTGCTGCTAGGTGGAAGCTGGTCAGGGAGGAAACTCAGACAAGATGCTGCACGTCCCCAGGCTTAATATAAAGCAAATATTGGTGGAGGGAGGTTCTTTTCTGTAAGGCCAGAGAGGCTCCTTTGCAGCCAATGTAGGCAGGCCTGACTGCTGAATACTGATGCAGTGTGAAAGTTAAGAGAAGACGTATGGAACTAGGTTCACATTCTCCGTGTACAAGTTTACTATCTGCGTGTCCTTGGCAGATCTTCTACCACCATCTCCAAGCCTCAGCCTTCTCATGCTGGGTTGGTGATACCTTTAAGGATAATAAATATTCGATAAATGTGAGCTATCATTATAATGGAAATTTCAAATATGCATTCTAATAGTAATAGAATAACATTTTAAAACACTTCCTAGGCTCCACCATAGGTATTTCACAAATCTTTCTTTCCAGACCAAACTGGAAGGGAACACGTCTCAGAAGGGCCTGTGAAGAGATGGAGAAGGCTCAGCTGCATAAGGTCACTCAGCTGCACACTGTTCCACTGGGAACTCTGTTCCAACACTGCCCTTGACACCCCCACTCCCCATGTCAGAGTCCCTGAGGAAAGTCTGTGGTTCTAGAAACTAATTAGGAAAAGCCAGAATAATGGTAAACATTTTCACGGAAATCTTAATATCAACAAACTGCTTGTTATAGAGGGCAAGAAAACATTACGTCAACCTCTAAACATCCAGCTGGCATTAATCAGGGGCTCCATTTGGCTTGAAGCCAGGTCTCATTGGCCAGTATTTCACTGCCTAACTCTGGGACAATCACAATGTGTTGTTTTATTGCTAATGGACTCAATGTTCAGAGAGAAATAGAACATTTTTCCATCATTCTTGTCGTTAATTTTTTTTTCACTTTTTTTTATTGTGGTAAAATACACATAACATAAAAATTACCGTCCTCACCATTTATAAGTGCACAGTTCCGTGATATTAAATACATTCACGTTGTCGTGCAACCATCACCACCATGCATCCCATAACACTTTTCATCTTGTAGAACTGAAACTCTATATCCATTAAAAAATAATTCCCCACCCCTCCCTTCCCTCAGCCCCTGGCAACTATCATTCTACTTTCTGTCTCTACGAGTTTGACTACTCTAAGTATCTCGTATAAGTGGAATCATGCAGTATTTGTCTTTTTGTGACTTGCTTATTTCACTTAGCATAAATGTCTTCAAGTTTCATCTATGTTGTAGCATATTGCAGAATTTCCTTCCTTTTTAAGGTTGAATAATATTTTATTGTATGGATATGCCATATTTTGCCTATCTATTCATCGATCAATGGATACTTGGATTGCTTCCATGTTTTAGCTATTGTGAATAGTGGTGCTATGAACATGGGTATACAAATATCTCTTCGAAACACTGTTTTCAATTTTTGGGGGTATATATACCCAGCGGTGGTATTGCTGGGTCATATGATAGTTTGAGTTTTAATATTCTAAGGAGCTACCATACTGTTTTCCTCAGAGGCTGTACCATTTCACATTCCCAACAGTCCACAAAGGTTCCAATTTCTATATACTCCTGCAAACACTTGTTGTTTTCTGTTTTTCTTTTATAGTACCCACTCTAATGAGTGTGAGGTTTGATGTGAATATTAAATTGCTTCAGAACTTTCCATGTGTTTTGTTGCATATCTTTGTTTTAGGTGTTTCATCTTCTCTCAGATGTCAGGCCACCCTTGTTATCTCTTGGCTTGCCGCATTTCACTATTCTTCCCCTAGTGGCATTGTTTAGGTATGTTGAGGTAGGGGCTGGTGAATAAGGACACCACCCAAACTGGACCCTGGAGTCCAACAGGATGAATTCTCTATGGGCTGTAGGTAATAGTCATGGGGTCATGAGCATGGGAGCCCTGATGGTATATGGAGAACCTGTTGAACCTTAGAAAAATCATACACAGATAACATACACTATTTAGACGGGACATCACTTGTACAATTCTTAATCTTTTGGCAGGAAATGAAATGGGATATCTCTTGCAGAGTTAATCTTTTTAGTAAACCTAGTTAAGTTTTCTTCCCTCCTTTCTTTGGAAAAAGGCTCTCTCCCTCACATTCTGATAATTGCCCTGGGACTCAGATCCTCTGGCTATTGATAAGGGTCATCAACTTATTGGTAGCAGAAATGATGTTAAGCCTGACAGGCCCTTTAGATTCTGAGAGGGAAGGGGATTTTACCCTTTAAGAAACAATTAACCAAACCCATTTCTCTTTACTCACTTAATAGGCAAATCAATAATAGAAATTAATAGATATAAGATTTAAATAATTTTGTATCATCTTTTCCTTGTCTAGGGACTGAGGTGGTACTTCAACAGGAAACCCAAGACCCCACACTGACTGAGGCAGAAAGGGAATGAGCTCCATGAAACTCCTGTAGGCAGGGCGTATGGCCCAGATACAGAAGAAGAGACCCTCACCGTCCATACCAATAATAAAGAGATTATGGCTCTTAGAAAAGAGCTAGGCAATAAAGTTAGTTAGAAGGTTTCAGGTTTGCCAGCAAAGACACTGAGGTCATCCTATCCTAGAAGGGATCCACCCTAATCTGCCCACAATTAAGAAAGCCAGAAGGCATTTTTTAACTCATACAAAGAAACCAGTAGGCGGAGAATTAGGTACCAGTTTAAGTCAGTCACTTGCACCTGCCCAATGAAGACCTCAACAACCCTCAACTCACCTGAGCCTCATTATACCATCATTATAATATGATGCATATGCACAGAAGTTTATCAATATCATCATAACAGACTGAATTCTGGGAACAAACATGTGCAGAAAGTAAAATGATGAATCACTAGGTCCTGTCAATCTTAGCTGTCAATCAAGGAAGCCCACTCTAAGTAACCACCCACAGCAAAAAGGGATAAAAACTCCTGTAGGCTTTGTTACCAGGCCTTTTGAGCCACGCTTCTCTTGCTCAGGCCCACTTCCATGTCTGGAAGTGTACTTTCCCTTCTAATAAATCTTTTCTTTTCTACTGTATTTCGGTGTCTTGCTCAATTCTTTGTTCGAGACATCAAGAACCTGGACAACGTGCCAGGAGAGGATGACCATTCTCCGGTAACACTATCACAATGACTTAACCCAGTCGTGCTCAACCCAATGAGTGATTTTGGCAATGTGTGAAGACTTTTTTTGTATCACAACTGAGTGAAGGGGACCACTGGGAATGAGGGTACTCCTGGCATCCAGTGGGTAGAAAGCATGGAGGCTGTTAACCACCCTCTAAGGCATAGGAGACTCACATCCCCGCCCCACCCCAGCTCCGCACACAGAACAACCTTGTCCAAAATGTCAATAGTTCCCAGGTTGAGAATCTGGTTGACTCAGCAATCACTGCCCTCTATTATATACTCCTAATCCACTAGTTAAATCATTGCTCCCCAACATGCACTCCTGCTCCTGTCAGGCAGGTCCTGTCCTTATTCCTAAACCTGCCTTTCTTAGTTCTGACCTCTGTGCCTTTGTTTATGTGGTTCCCTCTGCCTGGAATGCTCTCCTATGCACCTATTGGAACTCTGCCATTTTTTCAAAACTCGAGCAGCACTTCTATAGATTTGTCTTCAACTATCCTAGTCACAGCAACCTCTCTGACCTTCCTCTTAAACAAGAGCAGCTATTTCTCACTTGCAATGTCTGGTAGGGTGGTTATTATATAGTATCTGGAGTGTCAACTCATTGAGAGCAGGAACTGGAGATTAATGTATATATCTATGTATCCTCTGTAGTGTTTAAGGTTCTCTGTTCATAGGTGAGTAACTATGCACCTACATTGTCTGGCTTTTCCTTGTTGTTCTATTGAGAGTTGTTCCTATACCAAGAGAAAAATAGTTGAAAGGTTGAAAACTTCATTGCCTGAGGCTTGGGAAAACCTTTGATATAATAGGATTTGATCTGCATGGCCCAGAGATGGGAATTTTGTAAATTTCTATCTCTTTAGATGAGATAAACAGCTACCAAACTTTCATCTAAAAAGCCTGTGATGACATACACGAGTAAATAAACACCACTTGCCAAACTTTGAGCATGCAGCAGCAGAGCAGCAGGGACCCAGGCCAACGTTCTTCTTTCCTTTCCCAGTGTGGGACCATCTTTCCTTTCCCAGTGTGGGACCAATAGCTTTATTGGTCTGGAGGAGCAGCCCAAGCCCCACCTGTAAGACCCTGTGATATTTGATATTCTCTTTGATTGTATTGCACTGTTTGTGCTGGAAAACATCTATCTCTCTCTCCTCTGTGTGTGTGTGTGTATGTATGGTGGGAGTAAAACAGGGCTAACCTTGTTATGGTTGTAGTGAGGATTAATAATGCAAATTATCTGGCATAGCGTGGCATATTAGCGAACTCACAATAAATGTTATTTTTCTCTGCTTCACTTCCCTTGTCAGTCAACAGTGATATGACAACAATAGTACTAATAGCAACAATAACAATATAATACTTTGTATTTTTCATATTTATTCGAGTTTCTTCGGTCCCTAGAAGGTAGCTGAAGTAGGGATTTTTAATCTCATGTTAGATGAGGAGATGACTCCAAGGTTGGAGTTGCAATGAAGTAATAGAAACAGTATAGTTACAATTTCATACAGGTACTATCTGCAAACTTAGAAATGGGTTCTTTCCTGTTCTCTATAACTCTTTTCTTTTCTTTTGTCTGTGCTCACCCCACCCCTCATCTCTCTTTCTTTCTAATTTACAGGTGGGTGGGAAGGA